GGGGGGTTAAAAAATGAATGAAACAAATCTGAAGATTCCTTGAAGATAATTTTTCATTCAAATGAATTTCATACTTATAATAAACAACATATATCTATCCAAATTTCTAAATTACCTTTTTTTTTGCAAATGAGATTAAATAATGTGTGAGCAACAAGGAGATTTTATGTGTTGAAACAGTCATTTAGAGATATTTACATCCTTAAGTAAAATGTAAATATAAGAACAAGAAAACAGCAAGAATATTAGAGATGATGTGATAGAGAACAAAAACCTACCTCTGCATGTGGCTTGCCTCTGTGCTGACTGAAAATAATAAATATCTCTGTTATAGTAAATCTGAATGTAACCTATGTAATGGTTCACAAAGCACTTCATTTACACATAATACTTATGTAAAGTGATATATATAGTGATATGTATAGTGATATATATAGTGATATGTATAGTGATATATATAGTGTTCCTTTTATCAATGACTGTTTAGACACTTCACTTATAATCTGATAACTTTGAAATTTTGATTTTGATTGGTTTAAGTATTTTCATATTTCAATTACTGAACACCAGGAAATATTTGGCACCGTTGACATTTACTATTAACAGTGAAACAAGAAACACACAAATTCTATGCTTTTGCTTTCTCATACATACTTCCTCAACAATGAACTAAAACATATCAGCTGCAAATTGGAGATCTCCTCTCTCTAAATAAACCTTATCCGTGCATATTTCACAAACTTTTGACTTTCTAACATATGCAAAATATAAAAGCATTTAAAATCTTTGGCTTTCTGATTGCGACATGACTTTAAGTAACATTGTTTTCCCTACAAATTTGTTGAAGAATCTGACCCCACAAAATCAAATCCCTATACAGTATTTCACTATTCTACTCCAATCAAACTTGTTGCAGACCTTTCATTGTCCTCAGGATCATCTGAATCAGCCTGCTTCTTTGTATCAGCGTTCCACATTTTATACTCCCTTTCCAGTAACTGAAGTTATCAACAAACACAACTTTGGTTTGGTTTTATTTTGTTTAACATCCTATTAACATCTACACTGAAGTAGTAATGGGCTGATGATCGATTATAATCGAAAATCGATCGGTTTGACCTTTCCGATTCCAGTTATTGATTACAAATTTCATTATCAATATAATCGGTTCTTCATTAAAATCAAAGTGTTAATGTTTTCAACGTAAAAAATGCATTGAAATGCACAAAAATTGCTTGAAATCCATTCATTATAAAAGAACAAAACATATTGTATAGTTAACAAATCTGTCTATTGACGTTATGGTAGTGTTGTCACTTTATTTTGGTATTCAGTCCACTAAAATTATGAACCGATTATTCAATCGATCATCGATCGGTTTACTACTTCGGATTACAAACCGATTATCGATTATGATTCTATACCGATTGCCCATCACTACATCTAAGGTTATTTAAGGACGTGCCTCCATGTGTGTTGTGTAAGCGTGCAAGTGTGTATGTATGCTGGAGACAAGGTATGTTGGTGTATTTGCCTCCTTGTAATAGTGCGGATCGGATGCCAACTGTATAGTGCTATCTCACTGAAACACCATACCGTGGGCACCCAGCACAGCATTTCACTTTATAACTGCTTTGGTAACATAAATAAATAGAGCAGTAGGATATTGTGACCCAAATTGTGCAATTAACAACAAAGGTCAAAGGTCACACAATATAGTTTACCATGATGTTGAACGTATGACCTTCAAAATATTAAATATCATGGATTTAGCTATGTATACTGTATACCAGGAAATGCTTTCCTTGTCAAACTTTTGCCTTTCACCCATGAAATCAATTTTCGCCCTACGCTAAGTTCTGCTCAACGTTCTGCTTGCCCTTTATATTTGCTTTAATTATAGATTTGCCCTCATAACAGAGGGTAAAAAAGGCAGAAACTTGACTGTAGCAAACATTTCCCGTCGTACGGTATACTAGCTACGGTATACATCAGCAATTTAATCTGAATATTAAAAAAAAAAAATCAAGTGAAATATATAGCACCATTGACCTTTAACCAAGCACAACACTCAGAACCAGATATCAAATCTTGTGATATCTGTGGTATTACAATCTGACCTCACAACCTACACCAGAAGTGTTGACTATATAGGTCACCTTTCCCACAAAGTTCACCTACCATGGACAGATAAGATCACTTAAGGTGCAGTTACTGATGGTGGATGTTTTGAGGTAAAATGAACACTCAAATCTCTTTTAGTGTATAGGAAGTGTTACCTGGAACATGACAGCCACCACAGCTACAGCAACAGAAGGAGCCAGCAACGTCTTCAGTACTTTCTCAGGTGTCTAAAAAAATAAAAATAAAAGATAATTAAAACAGTAGCAAGGCCTCCAATTTGTAATGCCTACACTCAGAACGATTTTTTATGGAATACATCTCAAACAAATTCTGACCATGACTTCTATGTTTGACTGACTAAAACAGTTTCCTTCAAAGTATAGAAATCTATCACAACAACTTGTTGCGATTGACTTCTACACTTAGTTTTCCCTATTCTTCAATCTCTCTGCATACCGGATGGTATCCAAGCAAGGGATAGATGGAACCGACCAAACCTAAATAAGAGAAACAGCATTGACTCTATCCCTGGAACTATTAACACTATAGACTTAATCATCTCAAACATATATTTCAACATAGTGCTCATTCATGATTTTCCATGTGCAAAAAACAAAACTGTATGACATCCAATCTTTACACATTAATTGTGCTATCCATTACGGCATCAGAGTTAAGATACAGCGCTTATCTCCTACATTAAGACACCCTTAATACTCTAGGAGATACGTTCACTTTTGCTCTCTGCATCGCTGGAATACGTCATAGCAAAATAAATCGAAAGCTCAGAGTGTACCACCTTGTGGATGAGACAAGAAGACTACTTTGATCATTTGATGTGCATAAAAATAATCTGTGGATCGCTAAGATAAAATTGACTAGCTTTGAAGTCGTGTATCCTCCTCTGTAATTTTCAAATGACAGGTATCACCCTAGCGATTGGTCAGGTATTTTTTTTACCCGAGACCAATCAAATAGCTAGCTGCATGCTTTAAATTTTGCTATGACATATTCGAGGGGTGCAGAGGGCCCAAGAGAGTGAAACCCCTGGAGCATCGAGGATGGTGGACATTAAGACACCCAGGTAAGATTCCTTGTTATATTGTACATGAGGAAATCCAGCTGAAGCTAGCATTTATGCAAGTATTTAGACATCAATATTTTTTACAATGTATACAACAAAATCTCTCTGGATGTGTGTATCCTAATTACCTCCTTCTCCATGAAGTTAAACTCCTTTGCACAAGTGTACAACATTGTGTGGAAATTTTTGAAATCTGAGAACTTGCTCCTGAATATCTCTCCTATGTGTGCCTGGAAACAATAAAAATCAAATGTGATACACAAGTATAAGGTAGATAGTTTTCAAAGCAATTATGTAGATTATTCTGTGTTTTTATCATCAGGGGTAAAATTCAGTGATATACTATTTGTCTATTATGCTATATGCAAGCATTGTCATGCTGCTCTGGGTAGAAACAGGGCTTTGCTTAAAAGCATTGGGTGGGTTTTGATAAGACTGAACCAGTTTTATCGCTGATAAGGAATGATATGTTTCTATTCTAAATATGCAAAAACAAATGTTAGAATGCCAATTAATAACATGTTCTAGTGTGTAGTGCCTGAATGTATTATAATGTCCACTTACATCATCTGCCACACGTAAAAGTGTAGACAGGGCTACCTTCAGTCCAACTGTACCCAGAATCAGCAGGACACCTTGTGTGGCCTGTAGAAGGAAAACAGATAACTTTGACACTAAAACAACAAGGTTTAAATACCTTTTTTAAAGATTCTTAAAGTTTTCAAATATATTAGTTACACGTACCATTTAATTCCAACTACCTTAAAAATGAAAGGAATGTTCTAAATTTGTAATATTGCTTTGCTTAAGAAAGTTTTGTTAAAATTTTTAAAAAGGTGTAAAACCCGCTAATATTTCTATGAATGGTACCCAGGTATGCATTTCATTGACTTTTAATAATTAGATACCATCACAGCAATCATAAGTAATGTACATGTTGGTATACAGTCCCTGTACATGTTGGTATACAGTCCCTGTACATGTTGGTATACAGTACCTGTACATGTTGGTATACAGTAACTGTACATGTTGGTATACAGTCCCTGTACATGTTGGTATACAGTTCCTGTACATGTTGGTATACAGTCCCTGTACATGTTGGTATACAGTTCCTGTACATGTTGGTATACAGTCCCTGTACATGTTGGTATACGGTACCTGTACATGTTGGTATACAGCCCCTGTACATGTTGGTATACAGTACCTGTACATGTTGGTATACAGCCCCTGTACATGTTGATATACAGTACCTGTACATGTTGGTATACAGTACCTGTACATGTTGGTATACAGTACCTGTACATGTTGGTATACAGTACCTGTACATGTTGGTATACAGTACCTGTACATGTTGGTATACAGTACCTGTACATGTTGGTATACAGTACCTGTACATGTTGGTATACAGTACCTGTACATGTTGGTATACAGTACCTGTACATGTTGGTATACAGTACCTGTACATGTTGGTATACAGTACCTGTACATGTTGGTATACAGTACCTGTACATGTTGGTATACAGTACCTGTACATGTTGGTATACAGTACCTGTACATGTTGGTATACAGTACCTGTACATGTTGGTATACAGTACCTGTACATGTTGGTATACAGTACCTGTACATGTTGGTATACAGTACCTGTACATGTTGGTATACAGTACCTGTACATGTTGGTATACAGTACCTGTACATGTTGGTATACAGTACCTGTACATGTTGGTATACAGTACCTGTACATGTTGGTATACAGTACCTGTACATGTTGGTATACAGTACCTGTACATGTTGGTATACAGTACCTGTACATGTTGGTATACAGTACCTGTACATGTTGGTATACAGTACCTGTACATGTTGGTATACAGTACCTGTACATGTTGGTATACAGTACCTGTACATGTTGGTATACAGTACCTGTACATGTTGGTATACAGTACCTGTACATGTTGGTATACAGTACCTGTACATGTTGGTATACAGTACCTGTACATGTTGGTATACAGTACCTGTACATGTTGGTATACAGTACCTGTACATGTTGGTATACAGTACCTGTACATGTTGGTATACAGTACCTGTACATGTTGGTATACAGTACCTGTACATGTTGGTATACAGTACCTGTACATGTTGGTATACAGTACCTGTACATGTTGGTATACAGTACCTGTACATGTTGGTATACAGTACCTGTACATGTTGGTATACAGTACCTGTACATGTTGGTATACAGTACCTGTACATGTTGGTATACAGTACCTGTACATGTTGGTATACAGTACCTGTACATGTTGGTATACAGTACCTGTACATGTTGGTATACAGTACCTGTACATGTTGGTATACAGTACCTGTACATGTTGGTATACAGTACCTGTACATGTTGGTATACAGTACCTGTACATGTTGGTATACAGTACCTGTACATGTTGGTATACAGTACCTGTACATGTTGGTATACAGTACCTGTACATGTTGGTATACAGTACCTGTACATGTTGGTATACAGTACCTGTACATGTTGGTATACAGTACCTGTACATGTTGGTATACAGTACCTGTACATGTTGGTATACAGTACCTGTACATGTTGGTATACAGTACCTGTACATGTTGGTATACAGTACCTGTACATGTTGGTATACAGTACCTGTACATGTTGGTATACAGTACCTGTACATGTAAAACATGTTTGTTATGTATAATATACAATGGACTTCTTGTTCCACACATAGTGTGGCTGAGTGTAAATAAAAATCTTAAAAATTGAAAAACAGAACTGAACTTACCAGTATTAATATTCTGTAGTTCAGCTTCTCCAGATAAGGCTCTAAGATGACGATGATCTAAAAATGACAACAGAACACATAATGGGTGACTTGACAGCTGTGTCACATATCTGTCATATATTAATATTGTTTGTCACAAAGGCGTGTTTTTGTTTTCACTATCATATTACCTCGAGGGATTGGAGACACAACGTCCCTTACAAGTTGAAAATCTGGTGCAATCATATGATTGCCATTGTCAATACATGTAGTATACAGACCCCTAGTTAATAGCTCATCCATTAATTCCAACAGAGCAAGGAACACAACAGAATCTAGCTTATAGATGATTAATTCATGTCTCAAGATAAGGATAAGTTCTGCCGTGTTATCCTAATAAGCATAACTCACCATAACAGTCACAAGACAGGATGCAAAAAATGACGTTAGAAGCATCTCATTCCCAAATAAGGCAGCAAAGCTGACCAGTAACCCAGTCTGAAAAAAAATGATGTTAGAAGAATCTCATTCCCAAATAAGGCATCAAAGCTGACCAGTAACCCAGTCTGAAAAAATTGAATTGGAAAACAAAGTCTATAAATGTAACAACATCCTGGTAATACAATACACTTCACAAGCCATTCAGATTAAGATGTCTTGCCTGTGCCCTGCTTTGACCATCAATGCACATATCAGAGAAACTAACTTAAACGCAAAAACTTTATGTTAATGGAGATGCTGACAAAGTCAATGGACCATAAAAGGTAGGCCGCATCCAGCATTTGATGCATGGGTTGAGATGTACTTCCTTAGATGCATCTATGGTTCAAGTTTGGTTGGTCTAGCACTTATACTAAGTTAACCGCAAAAACTTAACGTTGACATCACCGCCCTTGCCGGAAAAGCAACAACGTTAACTTAGTCTCACTTCCGCTACTTCATGGCGGCAAGACAAAAACTGCCCCACATCCTCTTTGCATTTAAAGTACCTTTGAATAGTGCTGTCTACAACATTTGGTCAACAGTTTTCAAATAAACTAAAATCATCCCGAGTACTCACCAGCTGACCCATCATGATGACCTTGACCTTGTGTGATCCAATGTAACCAAGGGCGTAGGTAGCAAACACAGCAAGTGTCTGAGTAAGGAGTGCAAACTGGGCAAACTGTTGAAAAGATCATTTAAAACAATATTCTTAGACACAAGTTTAACACATTCATTTTATTCTATCAAACTGAGAAATCATAAGAAAGGTTAAGCTACACAGATTCACTACAAAGTATCAGACTTGGCAAATAGTTGAACAGCAAACTCCTCCGGAAGAACACAGTGTATGATATATTTCCTGTATGTAGGTCAACCATCACAATAACGATGTTGCAAACCATTTTATATCCAGAGACACCTGTTATTTATCAGTATAATCTTATGGTTCTCCGGAAATGTGCAATGTGTTTTCCCGTAAACTCTAATGTTCAAGTACTGAATTATCCACTTCATACTTGCATAATCCTATCAAGCATCAATTATCAGATGCCATTTTTTCTTTTGAATATTTTTCAAAAATTTCTCAAGTTGACAAAGTTGACATTTTTTTTCAACTTTTTGCAAAAAGATTTATTTTTCTTCAACATGTTCATTTCAAATACATTATGATCTTACTGCTCCTGTTTCCATCTGCTTCTTTAGTACTAATCTGGGAAGTCATCAATAGATTCTTCTATTATATTGATATGGTAAAAAAGTAATCATAGAAGTATGTGAGTCACACCAACCTAAATTGTAAAATGTATCTTTGAAAATATTTCTAAACGAATGAATACATAAAGTTAATTACACCCACCTGCCATGCCAACATGAAGCTCACAGTGATGAGGGCAATGAGACCACTAAATTTGTAACTGGGAATACGCATTCTGAAACCAGTAAAATTTGTTACATAAATGTCAAGCTGAATGTCTGATAACAAAGTTAAACCATAGAACACTTACACATCAGACATTCTGACAACTGACCGTCAATGGATGGTCATGCATGAATCTATTAAAGCAATGGTCTGTAAATGTTTCATCAATTTTGAAGTGACTTTCAAAACATCATCTTTTGGTGTTTAGAGTGGACACCATGTTGGCTAAGTGATTGACTAGGATGATTCTAATGCGATAATGTTAAAGTGTTCTCTAGCTGTCATCGATGACAGTGTTGGTGTTAATGATTATGTTAAAGTGTTCTCTAGCTGTCATCAATGACAGTGTTGGTGTTAACGATTATGTTACAGTGTTCTCTAGCTGTCATCAATGACAGTGTTGGTGTTAGCCATTATGTTAAAGTGTTCTCTAGCTGTCATCGATGACAGTGTTGGTGTTAGCGATTATGTTAAAAGTGTTCTCTGTCAACAACAAAGAGTATCGGAATGCCATTTTATCATGATAGCAATTTTCGTTTTGAAAAAATTGTTCTTATGATGCTTTGGAGTTTTTGAAATTGTCCGTTATAAGTTCATTAACCCTTTGCCACAAACAAGCCTACACAAAACAGCGCTGTGCATCAATGAAGAAAATGTAAAAAGTTTACTGTGAACAATGTTGCAGCACTTCCATTTGCGCTTACATGTGGCAAAGGGTTAAATCCATATTGGTGCAAAATTGTTGACTTAATACATGTATAAGTAAAAACCTGACACTTTGCCTGATTGATCAACCTATACCAAGCCTTACTTGATGACGTGTGTGACTAGTAACCTATACCAAGCCTTACTTGATGACGTGTGTGACAAGTAACATCTGGACCACAAAGACTGGGTAGGCGAAGCTCTCCCTCAGGGGTGGAGTCCACATAGATCTGGTGCACTACGAGTTACAAAAATACACTGATTGGTGTTTGTTTTCAAAATTCTTTGGAATTGCAAAACTAAATATTTTGTTCCTTTATGAACTAATTGTAAAAAAAAATCAGCAAAGTATAGCTATAATGTGGTGCTATTCAGCAATAAACATATTAAATAAACCCAAAGAATTCTATGTAAAACAAATTGTGATCCTTCAATCATTCAAGCTATTTTCATGGTAAACAGACTTGGACGTAATGACCAATTTGTTTATAATCAATATTATAGAATATGTCATATAGCTAAACATGTGTTTTCAGACCATTGTTTTCCAGTGATAATAATTAAGAAACGATGAACATATTTATATATACTATACAGGGTAAAAGAAAATGTAAAAAAAATAATCACTAAGGCTGTTTTGGACGGAGTTACATATTATCCATATATTTTCCAATCCCTTGGCCCTGTTTCTTCCATATATACACACATATGTTGGTTATGTCTAATTTCCCTCACAAATATAACATGATGTGCTTTTGTGTCTACCACAGTAACTATAAGTGGTTTTGTGTCTACCACAGTAACTATAAGTG